GGGACGGTGTTGGGACCACTGCTATATACTCTATATGGCCTAAACCTGAAACTCATTAATCTGCAAGCAAGGTATTTTACGTATGCAGATGACACTGCTCTAATTTAGGTAAAAGGCTCAAATTTGGAGGAGGAAATAAACAGAGATCTGGATAGGATTCTTAAGTGGTTGTATGCCAACAAGTTGAAAATAAATGTTGAAAAAAGAAAATTTGTAATTTTCAGACAAAAAAATAAAACTTCAAACAATGTAAATATTAAAATTAGCAACGTGCATTTAGAATGAGTGACATCTATAACTGCTACATTATACATGGTGTTCCAGGGAAAACAGTCCACCCCGATTTATTGGATTTGGAATGAAAATCTGGGAAAACGCTCGTATAGGTCGCTTTTTGATTTGAGGAGGGGACTTTTTTTCAGTCTTTTTCATCTCCGTAGGCTCAACCCCCTAGCTAGGGGTAGAACAACCAATGAAGTAGTAAGAAAGTTGGAATAGCCCTTTGCCTATCTACTCAATAAATATATTTGCGGCCAACATTAGAGTGAGAGAACAGGAGAGATCCATGATATTTTCTTGCCCTTACTAGCGCTATCTCACTCAGGGTTAGAGTGAGAGATATGGGAGATCCAATATATTTCTTGCCCTTACTAGCGCTATCTCATTCTAGAATCAATTGAATGACGCAAAGCTCATTCCATACCTCTTTCTACTTCATTGAGAACAACCCCCCAAATTTGAATAGAGGATGAGGGTCGTGTCATACCTATTTTTAAACGTCTCATCGAGTTCTTTATGGCCCTAGAATTTCGTCTTATTAGCTTTGTTCGCGGGTCCGATTCCGAATCGGTTCAGGGACTATTCGCATGCGCAGTGTAAAAAATTGCGTTCGCGGATAATTAAATTCTGAATTTTTAGTAACAGTTCTACGTTCGCGGATCACATAGAATTGAATTTAATTGATTCGGAATCGGTTCTAGCAGTCCCAGGATTTTTGTTAGGACTGAAAGTTCGGTTCGGCTGCTCATGCGCAATTTTGTCAGACTTGTCAGCTGACTGGTGTTTATTTGTGTTTGCGTTATGGAAATTTGGGTTTTTTATTTGTTCTTACGCTGAAACGATAAACTATACGCTAGTTTTTTCCGACGGAGTTTATAGTTTACTGAATTTGCTGTACAGTATTATGTAGTTACTTATCTCTATTTAATCTAATATATTTATTTATATGCACAATTTTAGTGATTTTTTTTTTCATCCAAGTACCTACTACTACTAGTCGGACCATTTGTCATCTAACGATGAGGACAAGGAAGAATTAGAGCCTATTTAAGTTCCTAAAAGCGATGTAATTTTGAGAAGGTGATGCCACATTTCAGGGATGAACAATGTATAGAGCATTTTCAAATTTTAAATAAATATAAATATTATATCTGTTCTGTTATTCTTTTTGATTTATGAAAATCAAATAGCCAAGGTTCACAAATCACATAATGTTTAAAAGTATTCGGTTTTCGGTTCCAAAATCGTTCGCGGTAAAAAAAAATCCTGAACCGATTCTTAACTAGGCATGCGCTCTACGACAATCCCGAAATAGTTCTGAACCGATTCGGAATCGGACCCGCGAACAAAGCTATTATTTGCATCCGTAATGAAATGATAGCTTGTCAAAATCTCGGAAATAGACTATTGTCACAGCTATTGTTTTTGTGGGAGTAGAAGTGATACTGGCCTCCCTTAGTGAAAATACCTGAAATTGAAGTTTTTTATTATTATTATTATTATTAGGTGTACACATGAATTGTAAATTGTGAGTACTTTTATTAAGGGAAAAAAGTAACGCTTTTATTCCTACTAAAACAATAGTCTATTTCCAAGATTTTGACAAGCTGTCATTTCGTAACAGATAAAAATAATGAGACGAAATTCTAGGGTCACAAAGAACTCAATGAGACCTTCAAAAACAGGTATGACACGACCCCTATCCCCTATTCAAATTTGGGGGGTTGTTCCCCCCCTAGCTAGGGGGTTGAAGCCACGGGGATGAACAAAACTGAAAAATATTTCCCCCTCAAATCAAAAATCGATGTGTCCGAGCGTTTTTCCAGATTTTCATTCCAAATCGGAAAAATCGGGGGGACTGTTTTCCCTGGGACACCCTGTATAGACAATTAGGGGTCCTTAAGTTAGATCAAACACTGTTACTAGAGCAAAGCAAACTTATGTATAAAATAATTCATAATATTCAAAAATGCGATTGCTCGACTCAGACATTTACGATTCTATCCTGCAGTGTTCGTCGGTCAAACAGAAAGCTTCTGCAACATCGGAATGATGCCAGAAAAATTATTTATGGTCTACATAAACAAATTAAAAAAGATTTGGTTTTGCTCGACTTGGACATTTTCGATATTTTTCTGCAGTTTAAGCCCTCTAGCGGAGAGTTGCACCGCTAAAAGCTAGTTACAAAAGTGAAATTCGCCTTTGTGGGGTTTTTTACTTTGCACAAATTGTCATTAAATTAAATAAAATTTACTATTACTTGTCTGTTCAAAAAAGATTGAAAAGTTCTGAATTATGTATTAGTCGTACCAGTTTAAGGCAAATTTTGAACTTGATGATTGAATACCACCATTTTGAACTTTAAACTTGTTTTCAATTGAGTTCAGTCAGAATTATAATTATTTTTTATTCGAAATTGAAAAATATTTTGCATAACAAAATTGATTTACGTAATCGTTTTGAGGTGGAAATTTTACAATAAACAAGTTCAAGGTTGATTAAATTTTGTTTCTAAAATAGAACGCTAAAACTGAACCTATCTTGTATTGCAGCTAGGATAGTTTTGTTTGGAAAAATATTACCCACACTAAAAATTTAAAAACAAAAGCCAGCTTACCATCAATTTTGTTTTATCTCAATAACCTTCAATTCAATAACAAACTAAAGATAACAAAAGTTTTTTAACAATTATGTCATAATATTGCACTTTTAACAACAAATAAGTACACAAAATCTATTTTTAAGCAAAAACTTCAAGGTGGGGATAAAAGAATTTTAAAGGAAAATAGCCGGAAGGAGAAAAAATAACAAGTTGAACAGGAACAAAATAATAAATTAATTGCATCAAGGTCCAAGGATTAATAATAATACATCTTTTGAAATTAAATTCAAGGTAATTTATCCGTTTTTTTTAAGGAAAAATTGCAAGCAAATGTCCAATAAACAATCGATTAAATGGCGCCAAGGTGCTTATTTGATGTTTTATTATATGTGTGTGTTTTTATCTATCATCACTTTTTAGAAATTCACTTACGACACACAAGATAAGTAATTAAATTATGACTATGAGCCGATTTAAAAAAAATCAGTTGCCCAAAATCTACCATTCTCATTTGTTTAACAATCACACAAAACTCAAAGGCACACACCTGGGCATCCAGATCTTAACAAATTGTCAATAGCAGTTCAACAGTTGGAAGACTAAAAAACGTTCGAGGCCAATGCGAACAATTATCTTGAAGAAGAGGCCCATTACAATAATCTCGAAAAAAGTAGAAATTTAATGTGGAGCAAAATAAGCCAATTTTGTTTTATTTTGCTATTGTATTTATGTATTTTAGTTAGTTTAGGATTTGATTTGTAGTATACAACAAGTAATGCTTTCTAATAAATTTAACTTATGACTAAGGTTGGATTGAAGCTAAGCAGAAAAGGGGCAAAAGAGTTTGAGGGGCCAAAGCCCAAAGAAGAAAGAAGACGCAGACGGCGTGTGATGGGCAGTTTGCACACGTGGAAATACCCTTCTCCTGCTAAAGCCCTCTAGCCCCTTTTTAATCAACCTGCCCTCCGAAGTAATCAAAGAGCTGAGTAAGCTCCAGAAAAGAGCAAGAGCATGTAATGAAGAAAAAAAGAAGCAGAGCTCAAGCAGACTGGTGACACAATAGTTCCGATCTGCAGGAATTTAAAAAACTAGTTAGAACTTGGCGGAGGGAGGCTTAGGACCTACTCTGAGGTTGAAGATCAGTCACAAACTGCAAGACCAAGTGCACAGAGTTCTGGCATAAAACAACGACCATAAACCTGGTCTAAACAATGGTACCAAGACCTCCAACCTGCAGAAGAGTCTCAAACTGCTTATGAACTCATATCAGGCATTTTTCTGGTTAGTCAACAACAGATAACAGGGAATGACCAGACGACTTACGTCTAGGGAGCATGTTGTGATCTTATTAGAACTTATACCAACTTCAATTATTGTGATTTATAAAAAATATATACAGGGTGTCCCACAATCAGCGTCACAGGCAAGTTATGGCCTTATTTTTAGATATAAAAATTTGAAACAAAAAAAAAACCGATAATGGCAAGCTAAGCTCTTTTCAAAAATATAAAAAAATCTTTCCCTGAAAAAATCATCCCCTAAATACTACCCTTGACTTTTTTTTTTCAAATGGCAGCCCTTTCATTTATTTTTTTAATTTTTGAGCTCATGAAATTACAAATTTAATGGTGTAAAAAAAGTTTGTTCTTCCATGTCTCTTGGGGAAAAAAATGGGTGTCCCACAATTAGCCTTATACAGGCGATCACTTTTTTATCCACAAAGATACAAATATGACAAAAAAACATAAATTGTGTGCAAATTAACCCCTTTTCAAAAATATTTTAAAAATCTTCCCTAACAAACTCATCCCCTAAAAACAACTCCTGCCTTTTTTTCAAATAGAACCCCATTATTATTATTATTTTCATTTTTGAATTTTTTTTTTCAACGAAACATGGAAAAACAAACTTTGATATCATTGAATTTGAAATTTCATGAGCTTCTCAAAAATAAAAAAATAAATTATAGGGGCTGATTTTGTCGGGGGAAGATTTTTTTATATTTTTGAATAGAGATTAACTAGCCATTGATCTTTTTTTTTTTGTTTCAAATTTTTATTTCTAAAAATAGGAGAGTTATGGCCTGTAACGCTGATTGTGGGACACCCTGTATATTTACCAAGTCTACCATAATAAAATCATCTCCTGTAGACACCATAGACATTTCTTGTTGTTGCTGCACATTGTTGCCATTATTCTCTTTATTTTTTGTTGTTTCATTTCCACTACAGCTCAATCTGTCCTCTTCTTTAGGTGACGTTGACAAATCGCTTTCTTCTTCTTCTTCTTCTGGGTGGTCACCAAGGGATATTCGGTCAGCGAAAAAAGTACAAAAGGGCAAATCGAGTTGCGGTTCTTCGAAGTGTTTCCTTTTTCTGTCCGCAAATGCCCCAATTTTCATTGTTTCTGACAGTGATGAAGTGCGGTCGTCACTAAAACAAACAGACATAAATCCATATTAATATTTCTCTTACGATTAAAATTCAAAATTGTTTTTCAACATTCTATTTGTTTGTCTTAAGGTGCACCCTGTGAACTCTATCTGCAATAAAACTTGGACCTACTGACATCGGAATATGTGTTTTTTTTAGTATTATTGGGAATGTATAATGTATGAGTTGACATCTAAATTTGAGTAAGTTTTGCTCTCTTTAGGGTAGAATAATGTATCAACATGAATGGCGATAATAATTTCTAACCAAATATTTAAATATAATATATTTGATTGTATTTTCTTATCTGTTCACGTAAATTTGGATGAATCTGTCCCTTAAATAAATACATACATTTTAAATAATACTTCGATTTTTACCTATGGGATAACCTCGATTTTCACCAAAAAATAAATACAGCATATAGTGTGGGACAGGAAATGAAATCGGGCGGTACTTACATATCTTAAGAACCGCCTGATTTTCTTTTCTGTCCCGCACTGAATATCGAAAACGTTTTTGTTAGATAAAGAAAATATGGACAAAAATATATGACAAAGACAAAAATGTCTCCAAATCAAATTGTATGTAGTCCAAGAAACGGGGATCTGAAAAGAGGGTTTACCTCAACATAATTAGAAGTTAAAATGTTTTCGGGGGGATCGGTCCATTTTCATGTGCTAAATAACATATTAAGTTTGCGACCTTTTACTTCCATAGGGTTTTTAGTTAGGGGTGTTTTTTAGGGGTAATTCGCGGTTTATGGAGAACGCTGCTCAAAGGGATGATCCAATAGCAAAAACTTTCAAATGATTCTGTGCTGAAGTTTTTTGCTATATAAAAAACCGCGACAGCACCCCTTTATCTTCTATAGTTTTTTTTCTGCAGCGTCTTGAATAGTAGCATGTTTTTGTTGAAGGTCACTGAATCAGCGTTTCGCCTGTTTGCGCGCATTTGGTGCAGCAGCGGCCGAATGCATCATCCGATTTTGATTGTTCAAGCACCACATTATTGCTAATGAAATGCGCTCTCCAATGCTTTTTTGTTCGAATTTTTGGCTTGAAAATTAGGCGAGCACGGACTCGCCTAATGTGCTAGAAAGTTGTGAATTGCATCGAAAACTACCCCTTTCTTGCATCCACTGTAATTTCTAAACGGGGCCAAATATTTTGTGACAGTTCTCGACAATCGGCAACCCATTTATTCCTCTCTGTTAATGCCCCAGCGGATTTTTTTTCTCGGTAATTACTCAATTACTTATTCGCCTGAACACGTCGCGCGGAATTTTTCAAAAAGTCAAAAAAAAATTAAAATTGTCGCACAGTGCTGAACTTTGATACGATGGCTTTATTTATTGTTCTCATGAATATACTGCAATTTTAATTGTTTCACATGCTGCTGACTTAGCTATTGGCGAAAATAGTGCACGCGCAAGCATTATTCTATCATATTTTTTAACAAAAGACTCCTACAACAAGATATTTTCCGCGCGACGTGTTCAGGCGAATAAGTTATCGAGTAATTAACGCAAAAAAAATTCTGCTGGGGCATTATGAGAGGAATAAATGGGCTGCCGATTGTCGAAAACTGGTCACCAAATATTTGGCACGTTTAGAAACTACAGTGAATGCAAGAAAGGGGTAGTTTTCGATGCAATTTACAACTTTCTAGCACATCAGGCGAGTCCGGGCTCGCTTAATTTTCAAGCCAAAAATTCGAACAAAAAGGCATTGGAGAGTGCATTTCATTAGCAATAATGTAGTGTTTGAACAATTAAAATCGGATTATGCATTCGGCCGCTGCTGCACGCAAACAGGCGAAACACTGGACGCTGAACTGAAAATGTATTTCAACCAAAATATACCTTTAACGTATTTCTTCACGGTATTTCTGTATTCGTATGACTAAGTATAAGTAGAAGCTTGGGCGTTCATTAGATATTGAAATTATAAAATAGCAGTTACTTCATTTAGCATAATTTCGCTTTGCTTCGCTTCGTTTCACTACTGTTACTTTATCATAATGAGCGCCCAAGCTTTTACTTACATAGTCAAACGAATACAGAAATACCGTAAAGAAATGCCTTAGAGGTATATTTTGATTGAAATATATTTTAAGTCCAAAATTGATAAGCTCAGACCCTTTGTAAACCCAAAATTAATAAAGCTCCAAGTTATTATTTCAAACAAAATTTTATTTTCAGCCTGAATTTTTCTAGCAAAAACTTTTTTTTTAAGTGCATTTTTATATTTTATTGAATTTTTTTTTTTTTTTTTTAAATATTTTATTATTGTTTTATTTTCTACTTTTTAGTCTTTTGAGATCTTGCAAACAATATTTGATCTAGTATTTTCAAATTTGAATTAAATAACGAAAGAGTTTATTTTTTATGGCTCAAGTCGAGAATTGAACCTTCAACCTTTATGATTTCACGGCGAACGCTCAGATCAGATCAGCTCCATGTCATAATAATTATGGCTGAGTTCAGAAAATAGCGCCCATATAGATGAAAAAGTTGACAGTTGTCACGTGTTTAACTTATATTAGAATCAATTTATTATTATTGCTTTCCATTCAACGAATCTTACCCGTTTGTGTAAAGCCTCTGAAGCAGACAGGGGGTATGGATATTTCTCCGTAGAGCCATTACCTTCCATAAAATGTAACATGCATATGGAATGCAATGTTTTCACATCTTCAAGTTTGCAATAATCCTCACGTTGATGGGTCAGCAGCAAATTGACCTTTCCTCGCACCCAAGCAGGGCTTCGGAAAGTTAAGAAAAGTTATGGAACTCGTTCCACTTTTACAATCACCAAACACACATCGCTTCACCGCCCCTTGATAAAACAAATCACGTTCCTCCATCCTCCAAAACTGCCATAGTTATTAAATTTAATCCCAAAATTCACAATATTCAAAATTGGAAAAATTCATAAAATTAATAACATTGATGTTGCTATTTATAGGTTATGTGACTTTGTTTGTCGACTTTCTGCCAAAGTCAGTCATATTGAAATCTTCTATTGTAACTATTCATATTAAGGGAGGTAAGTACCGCTTTTACTCCTGGTGAAACAAAAGTCTATTTCCAAGATTTTGACAAGCTATTTCGTTACAGATGAAAATAATAAGACGAAATTCTAGGGCCATAAAGAGCTCAATGAGACTTTTAAAAAGAGGTATGACACGACCCCTATCCCCCATTCAAATTTGGGGGGTTGTTCTCCTCCTAGCTAGCGGGTTGAAGCTACAAGCATCAAAAATCGGCGTGTCCGAGCGTTTTTCCAGATTTTCATTTCAAATCGAAAAAATCCGGGTGGACTGTTTTCCCTGGGACACCTTGTGGAATGAAGTCACTTCATTAATTGTGTTCCGCTTATCAAGCCCTTTCATTTGATATTCATATCAAAGGAATTGCTGTGGAAATGATAACTCGCCATTTTGTGAAGTCTGACATATTGAATTTAAAATGACGTCACTCTACTTACTGTGTTCCACTTATCAAGCCCTTTCATTTTATACGCATATCATGGGGGTTACTGTGGAAATGACAAGTCGCCATTTTGTAACGTCCGCCATATTGGATTTAGAATGACGTCACTCTACTTATTGTGTCCCGCTTATCAAGCCCTTTCATTTGATACCCGATACCCATATCATAGGGGTTCCTGTGGAAATGATAAGTCGCCATTTTGAAACGTCCGCCATATTGGATTTAAAATGGCGGTATTTAGGAAATCTTGCATTGTCACGTGAACCAAACGTGTGTGCCAAATTTCAGCCCGATAGCTTCAGTAGAAGTATGGGTGAACTATTGATTGCAAAATTCCAGGACATACATATTGTTTGCCCAGCGGATCTGAGTCTACGGAAGGAATTCGGACGTAAATGTGCCATGTTGTCACGTTTAATTATTAAAAAGCGAAAATACCAGGCATGAAGTATAGTTCATTTGAAAATCCATTTTTTAATAACAAAATATAGATACCAATAAAACGCTAAATATTTCAACGTGGTTGTTAGATCTATTCTTATTCTAATAACTGATTTCTTCAATTTTGTCCATTGTAAAAAATAAATATTTTCTAAAGATACCATCAGTTTTTGACAATTTGGCAAGCATCCGGCCTGGATGAACCTGATTGGTGGAGTTTTTGGCAGGATGGCCGTTGCCACGGGGAACCATGTCGTTGTCAATGGGCTAACGTCACCTTACGTCTCGCTATTGGCCAGGGCTTCCGTCATTGTATCCTCCCATCTTGGAATATCGATTTATATTGAAATATCCAGTGGCGGGGGTTTGGTCATTTTCGATTTTCGTGTAGGAGTTGCAATACGATAACACTTCCAAAAAATTCCGCACGCAGCTGGGTATTTTATGAATGAAATCAGCCATTTTTTTTACAACTGCATTCCCCTTACCGTTGCCCCGTAGACACAGAGTCGCTGGGCAGACAGTACACACATACACATACAAGCGAAGTTGAATAAAAGCTTTTGATTATAGAAATAAAAAAAGAAGCGGCACCAAAGAGCTAAATTCTGGTGATAGACAATGAATATTTATTGTTGTAGAAAAATTGGCACAAGAAAAGGCAGAGAGAAAAAAATACCTTCAAATGACAGTTCTTTGATGAAAGGGCAAGATAAATAGATTACATTCTTACAAAAAAAAACAATGTAGGTATTTATATTTTATTGAATAAATTTTTCATTTAGCAGTAAATTGCCATTCCCAAACCACAAGCTAGGAAGTTTTTCGTTTGCGTTTGTTTTTAAGTCATTAGTTATGGTGGTATGTTCCATCATGTCATTTTCAAACAGAACATAATTTTAGAACAGGGAAAACTAATAGTCCAGGCAATGGGTATTTTTTTGCGAGAAAAAAATGGTATAGTTTTTAAATTTCAACAGATTGTTCAGATCGACATAGTGAGTCGGAATCCCATTTCGCAGCAGCTTATGGGGGGGCTCGCTGAATGGGGGCGTTTTTTTTT